TATAAAGGGGGGTGTGAGCCTAGAGGGGGAAAGTGAAAGGCGGAGGACTGAAGGGGCCACCCCCTTCGGGACCCCGGCCGCCCTGTTCACCCTCGTTCATCCTCCCTTCCCGAAGCTCGCCCTCGAAGGCAGGAACGACCGGCGCCGGTGCCTTCGGCGGCGGAGGAGGAGGAGGAACCGCGCCCGGCAGAGCAGCAGTCCCGTCTTCCTCGCCGGTTCGTGAATACAAAGGTTACGGTGCAGAAGGAAATTACACCCGGCTCCTCCGCGCCCGCGCCCGGTAGCCAACACAATGCACCAGCCGCCCGAGTCGGCCGCCGCGGCCGCCGCCGCTGCAGACAGTAGTGCGAGGAAGATGGCGCACCCGGCAATGTTCCCTCGAAGGGGCAGCGGCAGCGCCTCTGCTCTCAATGCAGCAGGTACCGGCGTTGGGAGTAATGCCACATCTTCCGAGGATTTTCCGCCTTCTCCGCTCCAGCCGCCGCCTCCTGCAGCATCGTCCACGACGTCGTCGGGACCACAGCCTCCGCCTCCACAAAGCCTGAACCTCCTTTCGCAGGCTCAGCTGCAGGCACAGCCTCTTGCGCCAGGCGGAACGCAAATGAAAAAGAAAAGTGGCTTTCAGATAACTAGCGTTACTCCGGCCCAGATCTCAGCCAGCATCAGCTCCAACAACAGTATAGCTGAGGACACTGAGAGCTATGATGATCTGGACGAGTCGCACACGGAAGACTTGTCTTCTTCCGAGATCCTGGACGTGTCCCTTTCTAGGGCTACTGACTTGGGGGAACCGGAACGCAGCTCCTCAGAAGAGACTCTAAATAACTTCCAGGAAGCCGAGACACCGGGGGCGGTCTCTCCCAATCAGCCTCACCTTCCGCAGCAGCCTCACCTGCCTCACCTGCCACCACAGAATGTTGTGATCAATGGGAATGCCCATCCACACCACCTCCATCACCACCACCACGTTCATCATGGACACCACCTTCACCATGGGCATCACCTTCCATCCCATGCTGGCCTGGTCAGTTCCTCCATTCCCGGAGGACCACCCTCAAGCCCAGTATCCAGAAAACTCTCGACGACTGGAAGCTCTGACGGTGTAATTCCAGCTGCACCCACTTCTGCTGTATCATCCGGCGGCTCCCCTGCATCTGTCATGACTAATATCCGCACTCTGAGTACTGCTGGCGGTCTAGGTATGAGTTCTGCTACTGGCTCTAACACAACGAGTAACGTTAACGTTGCCACCGCGGTGGGTAGCATTAATCCGAATGTGACAAGCAGCATGCTTGGTAACGCTAACGTGAGTACAAGCAATATTCCTAATGCTGCTAGTGTGAGTGTCGGGCCAGGAGTGAGCAGCGGTGTTAATGTGAATATCTTGAGTGGCATGGGCAATGGCACTATTGCTTCCTCTGCTGTTGTTAACAGCGGCCCCACCGCGGCTGCGGGGGTGACTGTGGGATCTGTTTCAGCTCCGCAACAACCAGCAGTTAACACATCTCGGTTCAGAGTTGTGAAGTTAGATACCAGCTCTGAACCCTTTAAGAAAGGCAGATGGACTTGCACCGAGTTCTATGAAAAAGAAACTGTTGTGCCTGCCTCGGAAGGCGTGGTGGTAAATAAAGTGGTGGAGACTGTAAAACAAAACCCTGTGGAAGTGACTTCTGAGAGGGAGAGCACCAGTGGGAGTTCAGTGAGCAGCAGTGTCAGCATACTGAGTCACTACACAGAGAGTGTGGGAAGTGGAGAGATGGGGGCCCCCACAGTGGTGGTGGTACAGCAACAGCAACAAGCACCACCCTCTCTTCAAGGTATGGCCCCTCCACAGATGGATTTTAGTAGCTCTGGTCCACAGAGTATTTCAGTAGCTAGTATGCCACAGAGTGTTTCCCAGTCACAGATCTCACAAGTACAATTACAGCCTCAAGAACTGAGCTATCAACAGAAGCAAGGTCTTCAGCCAGTACCTCTGCAAGCCACTCTCAAAGCTGCCACTGGGATACAGCCAGCGCCGGTTAATGTGGTTGGTGTAACTTCAGCTTTAGGTCAGCAGCCTTCCATTCCTAGTTTGGCTCAACCCCAACTGCCCTATTCTCAGCCGGCTGCTCCAGTGCAAACTCCCCTTCCAGGGGCACCACCCCAACAGTTACAATACGGACAGCAGCCACCGACTGTTTCTTCACAGATGGCCCCGGGCCATGGTAAATCAGTGACTCAAAATCCTCCTGAGTACGTGCAGCAGCCGCTGCCGATTCTTCAGACAGCAGTGCCCTCCGGACAGCCCGCTTCTGTAGGAGTGGGAGCAGGAGCAACAGTGATTCCTGTGGCTCAGCCACAGGGCATCCCGCTGCCAGTACAGTCCACAGTAGTCCAAGCACAACCTGCAGGGGTGTCTGGCCAGCCCATGGGCCAGGCTCAAACAGCAGTGTCTGCTGTACCTATGAGTGGTCAGATTGTAAATATCGGGCAGCAAGCAAGCATACCTACTGCAGTGCAGCAGCCCTCTCCTCAAGTCACACCTTCAGTTATTCCGCAAGGTGCTCCTCCATCTTCACAAGTAGTTCCACCTGCTCAAACCGGGATCATTCATCAGGGAGTTCAAACTAGTGCTTCGAGCCTTCCTCAACAATTGGTCATTGCACCCCAAAGTACCTTGTTAACTGTGCCTCCTCAGCCACAAGGAGTAGACCCAGTAGCCCAAGGCGTTGTCTCTCAGCAGTTGCCCGCAGTTAGTCCTGTGCCCTCTGCTAGTAGTATTTCTGTTACAAATCAGGTTAGCGCAACTGTTCCTCCTGCAATGCCTTCTGCCCCAACAAACTTGGTTCCACTACAGAATACAGCACAACCCCCTGCCACCCAAAATGGTAATTTGGTTCCGAGTGTTAGCCAACCTCCCTTGATAGAAAATTTGCCCTTGGCACAACAGATCCCACTGAGTTCTGCTCAGTTCTCTGCACAATCATTAGCTCAGGCAATTGGAAGCCAAATTGAAGATGCCAGGCGCCCAGTGGAACCCTCCTTAGTTGGCTTACCTCAGACTCTCAGTGGTGACAGTGGGGGCATGTCAGCAGTTTCAGATGGGAGTAGCAGCAGCCTAGCAGCCTCTGCTTCTCTTTTCCCGTTGAAGGTGCTACCGCTGACGACACCCCTGGTGGATGGCGAGGATGAGAGGTAAGATCATGCCATGTTTCTGCAGACATTTCAGCAGATTCGAAGTTCATTTAGTTAGTAGCTTTACAGTTTTCTAAAGCATAGACTGTCTTCATTTTTGTGTGTGAAAATGCCTTTTCATGGCAAGTTACCTGGAGCACGGTGTGATGGAATGGTTACAGAGTGGATAGGAAATGGGCTTACATTTCATAGTAAACCATGTTGGCAGAGTTGAACCTACGTTCATATTAAAAAGTAGGCCCCAGGGGCACCAAGTGTGCTATTTATAAATGGGTTTGTGAAAGATTGCCAGTGAACAGAGGCTTCATTTTTGTTCACCCGCATAATAGTTAATCCATTTTGGGTCACGAAAGTCCTTGATCATCTCTTGGGGTGGTTGTGGTTTCCATAGTTGTGTAGTCTGTGGAAGGTACTGTTAGCTGCTTAGTCAAAACTGTAGGGAAGAGGACCCAACCTGGCTTATATTCTGAAAGGTGGCCCTCACATTGCAATTGATCATTTTTTTGGTGTACTTATTTAATGGTCATTCAATTTGAGCAGGAAAGGAATGGAGATCTTAAAAACTATTTTGCAGAAAGGGGGGAGTCTCCACGGTAAACCGCCAGGTTTCCCTTTGGCAGCATTCCTTTTGCCTAGTAGACCAAGGTGGTAGCCATTTTAGAGTGAAAGAAGGAAGCCTTGGAGGGTGAGGTGTACAGACGCTTAAAATTAGACCACCTGTTCTGCTCATCTATTTCACCTGTTCCACCTTTTCTTTCCCAAAGAAGTAATTCAAAAATTCATTCGTAAACTAGGTATTTTTTTTCTCTCTCTCAGATTGGAAGGCACAGGCTTATGCCTATTGAATCAAATTGTGTCTTTGAAGGTGACTGGCTAAAAGTTGTGAAGTCTCATTATTTTACATTGTTTTGAAACAAAACTGATTTTAATGTCCTTTTCACAAATCTGCCAGTCTGTGGTTAACATTAATCAAAATAATATATAATTGTGATTAAAGGCTATCCACTTCCCACTGGTATTTTGAATAAGCTTGCAGGATCTCTTAATTTTTTGGGGGGGGTATTAGAGATTTTTGTGATAGAACTGTCATCAAACCAACTGAAGCGTGTATGTCCTATGTGCATATTTGTGGTTTCTACTTTGGAAAAATTGAGCATATTTCAAAACATTACAGTGAAAAAAACCAAAAGACAAATGTTTCAGTGATGGTTTCATGACTTTTTCTTTAAGTTGTTAAAAAGATGTGTAAGGTAAAGTATGGTTAATTGAAATGATTTAAAATCTTACCTTTCAGGGTTTTAATTATTTTTCTTATAGTCATACAGTTAAAGTCTTGTTCCCCTAACTAAATGTATTCTGTAATATGTGTACAAAATTGCAGTTTGTAAACCCCAGCATTTTGCATCCAGACCTACCATGATTTTGGTACTTACCATTTGTGGTCTCTTGGTATGACTTGATTTTTTTCCTCCTACTGCTAGGAGGTTTTCCTCAACTGGCTGTTCCAGAAGAAGTCACATGTTGCAAGTTACAACTAGGTTTTTAACGTTAGGAATAGAATCACAGATTAAGATATTAATAACATTTAATTTTTTTCAGATAGTAGCTGAGGTAAACATTAATTAGGGGAAAATTATGTAGGAAGATTTGAAGTTAGAAGGGACATGAAAGGGTCCTGAGAAATATGATGGGAGATAGTGACATCGAGCAACTTGAGCTGAGAAAGCGTTTGTCTCAAAGGTTCCCTCCAAATTCTGAAATACCGAAGTATTTCACCTCTCAAATGCTCGTGAAGGTCAGAAAGGGTGCATGCATTTGTGCATAATCTTTGTAGTGTTTATCATTAATTTGGGGAAAAAATATTTCAATTAAAATTCCCCTTGGAAAGGAATTTGAGAGTAACCCCTAGAGAAAAGAGTGTGAAAAAAACTAAACGAGTAACCCCTTAGAGCTGTATTTTAAAAAGTATGTGTGATACACACACTTAAATATTTTTTTAACCTTTCCTTTTTGCTTCTATATCAGCATCATCTAGAACAGCAGTTCTCAACCTGTAGGTTGGGACCCCTTTGGGAGGTCAAACTACCCTTTCCCAAGGAGGGATTGCCTGATTCATAACAATAGCAAAATTTCAGTTATGGAGTAGCAACAAAAATAGTTTTATAGTGGGGGGGGGGGTCACTACCACTTGAGGAACTGTATTGAAGGGTCGCGGCATTAGGAAGGTTGAGAACCACTGCTCTAGAAGTTGAGCCAGTATTAGTCTCTCATTAGAGAAAGGGTACATCATCATTTCAATATATGATTCAGGAAGTATATTGGGTGGCAGAACAATTAAAGATGGCTATTTAAAGGAGCTATGGTGGTGCAGTGGATTAAGTGTTGGGCTCCTAACGCAAAGGTGCGTGGTTTGGATCCTACTTTTCTGTCCGAGAACTCTGAGGCAGTCTGCTTCTGTAAAGATTTACAGACTAACTAACCCCTGTGAAGCAGTTCTCTTCTCCCCTTTAAGGTCATTCTGAGTCTGAATTGACTTGATGGTAGTAGGTATGCCTTACAGTTTATTCTTTAATCAGCTTTTGAAATAATACTCTAAAACTATAGATTTGAAAGAATGTTCATTAGCTAGGTAGAAAAAAGTTTTTAGTTGGCCATTGGGAGAGGCTAAGATTAGAAACATGGATTAAGGCATTATGTATAATCTTATATTTTAATTACTCTAGTTTTGAAGATTTTTATTTTATTGTATTTTCTTTAGCCTTTAATGAAGTTAAAGCACAGAGGAGATAAAAATATTTCACACTGAATGAAATCTTTGTGCTTGGTGATTGTTAGTACAACTTCTTTTGTTCAGTCGGTTAAACTTATACTCATCCTTCAAGCCTCTGCTCAGGTGTTCCTCCAGAACTCCAGGGAATGTTGTTTCGCTAGCACTTTCGAATGTTCCTCTATTTAAGCCCTGTCCACACTGAGTTATAATGATCTGTTTACCCATCTTCCGCAACAAGACTGAGATCCTCAAAGACAGAAAATAAGTATTTTTTAAATGAGTTAATGAGCAGACTTTTCTCTGCTGTGGGGATTTATATCATGATTTAAAGATTATTATCCCTCATTTCAGAATCATATGATGTATACAATGGATTGAAAAGAAATGGCTCAAAAAGACTGGCCTTTTTGTATCTAGTATTCCTTGAGGTAAATTGAAGTCTACTTTCCATATATAGTCATGGCATATAGTAGGACCTCAAATATTTATTAAAGAGGAGTGAGAGTTTATATCTGTAAAATGGGGCTGATACCCATTTTGTCTACTTCCCAAGATAATTATATCAGATAAATGACTTTAAGTGTACAATATAATAAATTAACAATTTTAAAAGTTATTTTAATTTGCGTATACTTAAAGATTAAAACAAAAAGTTTCCAGTTCTACTCATTATCCCTTTCACTTTTACCCCTTTGACATAATTATTGTATTTATTTCCCCATGTTTAAATAGCATATGCAGTATAGCTTGGTGGAATGAGACTGGGTAGATGTGATCATTCCTCTGTCATTTATTAAGTTTCATCTAACATCAGGCTCTCTGTGCTTCAGTTTCCTACTACCTACTCACAGGGTTGTCATAAGAATTAAATGGGTTTTGGAAGTCCTTAGAACTGTTAGGTAACTCATATGCCCTCTTTGTGAAATAAAATACTCCTTGCTTTTTTCTTTTGAGGAGCCTTCATGGTGGGTGGTTATGTGCTGGGCTGCGATCCACAAGGTCAGCAGTTTGAAAACACCAGCCACTCCATGGAGAAAGGGCTTTCTACTCCTGTTAACAGTCTCAGAAAATCACAGGGGGAGTTCTGCCCTGCCCTGTAGGGCCACGAGAAGTCAGCATAAGACTTGATGGCAGTGAGCTTGTTTGTTGTTTTCATTCATTGAGTGTGTTATCTGTTCCTGAATAGAATAGGAAGATTTGACTCTTGTCGTTGTTACTCAGCACCCCTCTCTCAGTATCTATTTCCTTCCAATAGTTTTATCACAATTAAGATTATATCCCTACTGATTCTTCAGTTGGTATTCTTATAAATTACAATTAATTTTCCTATTCTGTACTATGTCTTGTGGCTAATCGCCCTCCTCAGACCGCACTTACAAGTCGAGGGACTGCTGAACTGATTTCAGTACACTTTTTTCTTAGCTAATTCTCAGTGCGACTGGTTGAATGCTTCACCATAGGAATGACTTGGCTCTAGTTGGTTGTCCCCCCGCCCCCTTTCCTTTGCTTAGTTTTCTCCATATTTATCTCTGATTCACTGTACCCCATGTGTCTCTCAAGATGTTCATACATATTAGGTATTGTTACCAGTGTATCTTCCTGAGGAAGTTCTTCTCATTCCCTCCAACCTCCGTTCTGGACTGATGGCACTCTAAGCTTGGTTCATAGTTGCTGTCTTGGAATTGCCATCACTTTCTCTTGGATGCCCATTTTCTGGTGACCCACATTTTGTTCATTCTTGATGTTTTACAATGGCTTTAGTTTACCCTCATGTTTGCTGCATTCTTACATGTGGCTTTTAAGAAATCTGAATCTATTTTGATTCTTCAAACGTCATATGTGGGGCTGTGTGTGTGCTCTTTCCTCCTCAAGCTTTTACAATCTTACCATTTTCCTAGTGCTCTGAACTCTAGCTTTCCCACGTACCGGTTGTTTTCATCCATAGTGTTGAGTGCTTGGCGTGCCCTTTCATTCTGGAAACGTGGTGGTTTTCCTGAATAAGGTGATTGATCATGTATTTCTTTCTCTTTTCTCTTTTTCTTTCTCACACTCTTTTATTTGGAAAACAGACTTTCTAGCGTGGACTTCTAATTTTCTATTACTTTCCATCTTCTAATGTATTTTTTCGAGCTTTTATTTCTATTGTAGTAATATGTTTTCCACAGCTTTTTTTGTTGTTATTCCTTGTTCCTTTAAATAGTATACTGAACTAACTTTGTAACAACGGTAC